GGGCCGGTGAGGCGGCAGCAGCGGGCGGCGAGAGCGGGCCGGTGAGGGGATAGCTGTTGGTGGTGAGAATGGGCCGGTGAGGCAGCATCAGCCAGCGGTGAGAGTGGGCCGGTGAGGCAGCAGCAGTTGGTGGTGAGAGTGGGCCGGTGAGGGGTCAGCAGTTAGTGGTGAGCGTGGGCCGGTGAGGCAGCATCAGCCAGCAGTGAGAGTAGGCCGGTGAGGGGGCAGCAGCCGGCGGCAAGAACGGGCCGGTGAGGCAACGACAGCAGCCTAGCTATTGGAGTGGTGTCTGCACCATTGTGGAGATGGGGCTTGGGACTCTGAGATCGGGACTGTTTTTTTGTCTTGCTTACATTTTGCCTCTGTTAAATCTTTTATTTCTGGTTTTTGTAACCAAGTGGGTGCCGGTGAATGGCGACTTCGTGCGCTGTTCATTGTACTTATGTATTTCAGAACTTAGACAATGTGACAAATAAATAAATCTAAATCTAAATCTAATAATGTCCTTATATCATTCTTCACTATAACGTTCCATTCTGTCTGATTCTTTTGTGTGTACCAACCTTGGTCACAATGCACCTCATTTTCATTGTCCCATTATGTACAAAGCAGAAGCAATTCTATACACTATTATTCACCTTACAATGATTCCATCAACAGAAATTAGTACAGTCAGTCATTTGTAGTGCTGGCACACTGCTCTCAGTATATCCAATCATGTTTGATTATTGTATTTCACTATTACTGACAGTTATAAATCTTGTTATTCTATTTTAGTATCTCTATAATCTCAGTAAATAAGATAATGTTAGAAATTTAGGACACTGGATAAATATCTAATGTTTAGCACAGAGCTAGCCAAAGCACATTAAGCAGATTGCCTGAAAAATTCCGAAGTCAACGTATTTGAAGAATCGGCGGAGGTGAGGGAGTGATCTGGATGTTTCTTTTTCTTTTAGCTGTTTCTTTTATTTCTGCTCCTGTTTTTAATCCTGCCTTTTGTATATTAAGGTGGTGCCGGAGATTATTGACTTCGTACACTTTTCACTGTAATCCTGAACCCGAGTACACGTGATGATAAAAATCTAAATCTAAATATAAATCCTTTGACCGTTACAGAATCATTCACAGAACTTTAAGGATGCAGGAGGAGGTCATTTGGCCCATCGTCATGTCTGCACCAGCTCTTCAAATGAGCATCATTATTTAGTGCCAATTTCTTGCTTTTTCTCCCATTATCCCTGCACATTATTTCTATCCAAATAATCATCCAATACCCTCTTGAATGCCTCAACGAAACCTGCATATACCACAATACCAGGCAATGGATTCCGAACTTGAACTAGTCGCTGAGTGACAAAGTTTTTTTTGTCTCATATCATCTTTGTTTCTTTGTGAACAGTCTGAACTTCTTCAATGTTTCCTCATAACTGAAGTTTCTCATTCCTGGAATCATTCTTGAAAATCACCTTGGCACTCTTTCCAATGATTCACATCTTTCCTATAATGTGGCGCTCATAACTGTGGCAAAACTCCAGCTGAGGTCTAACAAGTGTCTTGCACAAGTTCAGCATCACCTCCCTAATTTCCTACTCTAAGCCCCTATCAATAAAGCCAAGAACACCGTATGCTTTATTTACTGTTCTCTCCACTTGACACTTTATTATCCCAGCCTGCGTTAGTGCTGGACATGTCCAATCTCAATCTCGCGAGTAAGTTACTGAACACATTCACAAGAGTCTGTCACTGTACTTTTAACACAGATTAAAACGTTTATTAAACAAGAGAAATATTAATTGTATTGTACTGAACAAAAGGAGTTGGAAGGGTTTCAATACAAGCATTAGAAAAGGACTCAAATACAATATTCTTTTTGTCCCCAACAATATTTTGACAAACACCAAAACTCCAGTGATGATTTACCACTATCCCCACACCAAAACTTTTTGCTCAGGTTGGCATAACTAACCAGTTCCCTTTTGGGAAATTTCCACACATTTACAAGATGCTTTTTAATCAGCTAGTATTTCTCTCCAAAATAAAGTACAAACTAAATTCACTATTAATTAAATTTCACAGCAAACATGAGTCTCCTCAACTCAGTTTTCAGCAGTCCTGAGGACTTCCTTCTGGAGATTACAACACTCCTGCCTCCAAACTCTGAAGCATGCACATACATATGTACATACTCGCTTCTGGCTTCTTGTGTGTCTTTCTCGACCTCTGTAACTAGTCAACAGCACAGCCTTTTTCCTTTTTTTCTTAAAAAGTAATGTATTAAACCTCATCCCTTCATTTTAAGAGCTGTAAAACTTTGTTAAAAATGCACGTTAGCAAATAGACTTCCAGACCTCTTGCACCAATTTCACAACAGGAATTATAAAAATAAAAATAAAACCACATCTCCTTGTTCTTAACAGACAACATACAAAAAAAAGCCTTAAAGTTATATGCTGTTCCTAGCAGTAGAGTTTTGTTGTGCATAAATTGACTGCATAAGTTCCTACACTAAATAGCAATTATGCTTCAAAAGTACATTGGCTCTAGTGTATTTTAGGGCATATAGAGGTTGTGAAATATATTTTATAAATACATGTATACATTTACACACATACACTTATGCACACACATTATTGACATTCATAAAATACTAAATTTAGCTTGGAACATCTGATTGCAGCATGAACAGTGAAGCTGTACTAGTTGTCCAAAGGGCCCAAAGAATTATGACATGTATGACAATGC